ATAGATATCAAAAATATTATATAAGAATATATGTAGTATATTCTTTGAAAATTCATTCAATGGAAATGAAGTACGCATGTGCTTGATGTGTTTTGCGGGAGAAAAAAAAATATTAAAAAATTTCAAAAAAAGATGGTTTCTTGAAAATTTTTATTTCGCAGTAAAATATAAAACTGAATCTAAATAAAATATAAAAAATGAAAATTTACAGACTAGTTCTGAAAAATTTTTTTTTTTAAATTTAAGGGTTAATATTAGTACTTAAATATTAACAATTTTAATTGTTTAAACAATTTCATAAATGTTCAATCAATTATCTTTGAAATTTCAAGTTTCTACCTTTTATAGAACTTGAGATATACCTATTTGAAAATGTGTCTACTATGCCAATTCTCAAAACCCCATGGGTCCATATCTCCTAGGAAAAATATCACAAAATTTTTTCCCGAGATACTGGCCTTCTTATTTTATGAAAGGAGCTCATAAAAAAATTTCAGCCAAATCGGAGTTAATGAGGTCAAAAAGGTGTCCGAGTTGTGAAAGAATGACCCATATACGCATTTTAATTTCGTCAAAGAGAACAAGATCAATCTACCCTGTGATTCACCAAGTCTGAAAACTCCCTTACCAGGCAGTTTCTTTACAGTGCATACAGAAACAATTACTTCCAGGACATTGTAAATATGAACTAACTGTATGAAACATTAAATTATTTAAACAGAGGGCTATTTAATTTCCTTAACAAAAAAGTGACAGTTTCTTTATTAAATTTTAAGTGTACTTTAACGAAAATATTCTTAAAAAAAAGGGTTTCTTAAGACTCATGAACATTGTGCGAAAAAATATCATACAATTTTTTTAAATACCATTGAATATAACATTTCGTTAGGCTTTGTATAATCTAACAAAATCATAAACATTAATAAAAAATGCAAAAATCAAAATCAAAATTATAGAATAAAATAATTAAAATTAATTTCAAGCAGATTTTTACCTGTGTACAACCAATAATTTTGAAAAAAATGTAAATCTTTAATACCATTATTGGCAAGAAAAGTAAATACTTTGTTTACTACGTACGTTTTTCACGTTTTACCCTATATTTACTTCGGAATATATAATCGAATGTATTATGTTCCAAAAACAACAACGTATATAACATAAGTGCAACTCAACGTAATGGTGGAATTGAAAAACTTATGTTATACTTTTAAACAATATTATACGTTAGAATTAAGTAAATCAAATAATAAACAGTCAGTCATGAATTACACCTAGACTCGAGTGTTTCACTTGGACAAAACGTTAGGCGACGACAGAAAATACAAAGTAGCATGCTAAGCGACAAGTTTGAAAAGCCGCTAGAGCAGTAACAGCAATTTGCAAAAAGCATGTTAGAGCAACGTTAGAAATTTATGAAAGAAATTCTGGATGAAACAGATGCTAGTAATCCAAGCCGTAGTGCGAATAATATCACTATTTGTCCACCTTACCACAGTTTTACAAAAAACCAGCATACGCAATGCATATTTTTTAACGTGAACTGGCGCAGACACATTCGAATTGTTGAAAAATTTGTTCGCTAGTAATAGTCTAAGTGCGTTCACTTACATTCAACTAACCGAGAACTAATGGGGTGCTTTCAGTCTAAGCGTCATATAGTTGTCACACGGTATGAATTTCTCAATCGCGAAATGATGCATGCATAGACACACAGAGAATGGGCCGCCGAACTGTGTGGAATTGCTCGCGAATGTAAATTTGTGTGGGTAGCTACCGGGTGTACAGCAAATTATGTAGATGAAATGATTTGCGATCAGATCATACTACATACGCCATTCGACACAGTACGCGCACCAGCATTTCAAATGTTGCAAGCAGCTCTTGAAGAGGTACTCTTAATTACAGAAACGTATGTAACCAAAAACGGTAACCAAACATTAAATGCCAATACAACAAACATACATGCAGTTGATACAAATACACAAAAACGGCGCAAGCACAAAACAAATATGAAAACTACTACTCTTAAATAATAATATTAAAACTCTTTCTTTTTCTATTTGAAACACATGTACTGGTGAAAACCAAAATAACTTTACTAATTACTTTTATGATTATGTATTGTGCTGGGTGGAAGCGTCTACAATTCATAATGCTGGCAGAACGAGTGGTGTCTTTATGGTAATAAAAAATGTTTGGAGAAGATATATTGCTTAAAATTTCCAAACTTTGGTGATAATGTTGTGCTATAATCTTGTGCTAACGAAGTTTACTGTTTCTTCATTCCACGGTATTTAAATTGTACAAAATGTGAGGAAGATTATTGTTAAGAAGACCAATTTTTAAACGATTTTAATAAATCCGTTTACTGTATTGTTGGCTACTTAAATGCTCATGTAGTAGACAATCAACTAGTTTATAGTAATTTATTATTTGATTCCCCATTTACTGCGGTAAGAAAAGTATCAAAAGATGTGAAGCTTGACACCAACGGAAAAAAACTTCTAGGCTTTCTTTTTTTTTTTTTGGTATTGAACCTGGAGGAAAAATCTTCTCAAGATACAAATGGCCCGTACCATTTGCATGCCCGATCCATGTACGACTCAATTGAGTCACACATGCCTATGGACTAAAAAGTCTCCACATGCTCAGTTCAAAATCCCGGAAATCCTTGCAGTACGACCAGTTAAGGTATTCCAGAGCAGGTTAGTAGAGCACTTAGTGTGCTTTCACTCCGATTGTGTACTAAGTATTTCGTCCGCTATAACAATGTTTATTGTTCCAGAGTTTACTTGTATAGGTTCCACTCATCAATGCTTGCCAACATCTACATTACCATAGTAGAAGCTTCACCAATTAGTGTCTCTTGATTTTGTGTAGTATCTACGAACCTTATAGAGTCTATAATTATATGGTCGGGACACTCAATTTTATCCGACCAAAACTGGCAGTACGGGTTACTTGCCAGCCCGAACTGGTATAAGTATTCACGGAAGCAGCATTGCCCCGTGATGAAATGCGTTAATTGGAATTCCAAGTCTTTAGATCCTCGTAAAAGCAAGCGAATCCGCCGAGATGTTAATCGTTATAGTCCTTAATTATACATACAGTTAATGTAAGGAGAAGATGTGTCACATACATGGTGGAGTTGAAAAACGTATGTTATACTTTTCCACCACATTGTATGTTAGAATTAAGTAAATCAAATAATAAAAAGTCAGTCATAAATTACACCTAGACTTGCGTATGTCATTCGAACAAAACAAGATCAAGTCATTTCTTACAAGACAACTAGCTAAGAATTTAATATAATGTACAGAGAAATTGAGTATATCATAACACCAACTTCCTCCAAATCATTAGCATGATTTTCTTTGTATTACCGAAGACTATATATACTCAATGGTATTACGTTCCTAGATTAGATTCTATACCCAAAAAATAGTAATAAGATGTTGCAATGAATAATGCCTCTACCAAAGAATAGTATTGAAATTTAACAGCTAAAATAAAAATATTAGGCGTATTCAGGCAGCTGATTAGTTGCTTAGTTGATTAAAAAACTTCATATAAAAAAAATTAGCATTTTGATGTTAATCTGTTGCTTGAACAACCCAAAATGCATAATCTGATTAGTTTGTTGTGTACAAATGCCTTGGCAGCACTCGTATTAACAGCAAAAGCGAAACGTATGTTAACAGTGAAATACTCAAATATTCGTAAATTTTAATATCATTTAAATTTATCATATAATTTATCATATAACTAAAATTGCAAACGTGTCATATATCAAGAAGTAGAATATTCAATTTTATACTTTTTAATTATATTTTATCCCTTTAGTTCTACTGAATTTTATTTATTAATTTATGTTATTATTTTTGTATTTTATTTTTAAGACAAACTACGCTTATAGTGCCGACACTTGGTGCTGGCAGCACTATTAATCAAATTTTCACTAATCTGAGAATCTCCGAAATAGTTGATTCTCTGCTTAGTTTCATTTTTGTATGCAAATTTTTGTTGTAATCAACTACTAAGCAACTAATCAGTTGCCTGAATACCCCTACTAATCTGAGAATCTTTGAAATAGTAGATTCTCTGCTTAGTTTCTGTTTTGTATGCGAATTTTTGTTGTAATAATCTACTAAGCAACTAATCTGATGCCTAAATACCCCTTTTCTTTCTTGTACTACGTAATTGAAATAGAATTACAAAGCGAGTGACCTTAAAAGAGCGCAAAAAATTACGCTTTTACACAGAGATTAATACATCTGATATTAACTTTCCTTTCAAATTTTAGCACCATACATCGATTATGTGAAACCTACGCAGTATAAACTGTATCTACTCTTGTCTTTGTTCCCATTTTTTATTATATTAGAAATACAGTCTGCCATGCTTATTCTTTTTGTGATTTCTTTCAGTTTAGATTTGTTTTCGATCCAAGAAAATTCTCCGGGAAAAGCGTTTTAACAGCCAAAAACAGATAAAAAAATCTACGACGATTTTAAAAACTATACAATAATCTGATTATAACAGATGTTTCGAGGATTGCATCAATATAGAGAGGACCAATTTTGGCACTAGGGCTTAAAATCTTTGGTACTAGGTCTTCTTGATTAAACAGCATGTTTTTATTGCTAATAGTTAAAAACTAAAATACGCTAAAAAAGTAGTTTTCTACTTGTCGTGTTCGATAAAACACACAAAAAAATTAGTGAGCTGTCAAATTTTTAAATATCCATGTGGCTTAAATGTGAACCTGGGTGTATAAAAATTCATTTAAATAGTCTGTTGGGAAAAAATGAAATCCTCTTTCGATCCAAGTCATGAACATTTTTAAAATTAATGTACTTTCATACTTTACATAATTACAAGCTCATTAGTTTTAGTATTTACGTAACGCACTGTACTTTGATTTTAAAAATAATCGTGTATAATTATTGCCAATAATTAAGTAATTATTAATTATATATCTTTTTATCTTTTTTCAGAACAATTTTCTAACTTGTACAGAGGCATTAATTATATAGCATTTTTATACAGCAAATTGGACAAATCTTAGAAGAAAATTAAAACGAGTAAGAGTTGAAGAGATTTGCAGTGATTTTGATGCTTCCTGTTATCCTGTTTTGATGCACACAAACAAAGCTCAAAAAACAGGAGTCATTATAAATTTACCTATTGAAAGGATGCAACGAATTTACTGTGTTGCCAAAGTATTTATATTATTTTAGTTTTTTAATAGTCATATTGTATTAAATATAATAATTGAATTGTACATAATGAACGGATCTGTAGAAATAAAATAAAATTAGTTTTGTATAATACTATAGCAAATTCAAAATATGTATTTAAATTTTATTTATAACATACAAACTTACAGATACTTTTACCAATTCTATTTAAATACATTATTTAATATTATTTTCATGTGCGGTATTTCTTATGCACAGATTAAAAATAATGTATAATAATTCAGGTATAATACTAATAATTCAAAATATGGTATGTACCTATATTTTTTTTGATTTAGTTCAGAAAATGTACGAACATTAAAATTTTTATTCTGCCATAATTTGTCGTTTCATGGTCGAGGATTACAGCGCATTAAAAGAAAATGTGTGGATTTTTTTATTATTGATTTTTATTTTTATAAGGCAAAACTAACAGTTATTTGTGCGTTTTAAATTAAAAAGCAAAGTGTAAGAGTTATTTGACCGTGAAAAAAATAAGAGGCACATGATAGTAATTACATTTGATATATATAACATAAAGCAAATTTATTTAATTTTTTCGGAGTTTTATTTTAAAATGTGAATTATAACAGTTACGTGATTTTTATTTTTTAAAAATAACTGTTACAGTCCTTGGTACTTTGTGATATTAGCAAAATCTGACTAATAACGATGATTGAGTTTTTTATATTCAGACATTCATTAATAAAAACTTTTAGCAAAAATTACATGTCTACAAACAAAATTAGTACAAATATACCTTTTGCTGTTATCACCTTAAAAAATATACAATTTATATAATAGTATAAGTTCCTCTTACAGACAGATTGTAAACCTGTTTCAGACAACACATTGCTAGCTGGTAATAAGACATCTACCTGCTTTAAGTTTATATAGGTATAGCTTACATAAATTTAAGACACCATGTTTAATTTCCAATTATTCAAACTTTGCAGGTTCCACCAAAAAGAAACAGATTTGTATGAGAGTAAAATGTACTTACAGGAAGCTTGGGAGTACAGCGTTGACGTAGTGGAAATTGAAGAAGGTACAACTTTCAACCAATTCTATCACTCAATTCCAGTTGAAAAATCATAGCATTGTGAAAGACAATTGGAGAGAATGCAATTCTTATGCGAACTCTTCGCTGAAACAAAGTTTCTTATTCGTTACTAGGAAAATTTAACTGAGTTTTCGTTTTAAACTTTAAAAGGAACCATGCAGAATCTATTAATAATATTAAAAAAAATTTTTATAACAGTTGGAGTTCAAAAATCAAAACAAATAGAATCATTGAAATTATTTTTGTGTGCATCATTTTAATACACTAAAAGACGTTTCTGCTGCATCTCTATAAAGATTGTGTATATTTTTTAATTTAAACACAATAACTTTATAAAAAAATTAAAAATGAGAGGAAACAAGAGAAATTATATAATAAAAAGGCAACGGAGTAAAAATAATTATTTAGAAGAACTAATAGAACTAGTTGAATATTATAAAAACATTTCCACAGGGTTTGAAATTGCCTAACAATTTACATTGCTTAACTAATTGCTATGACTATGACAACGAAATGAAAAAAGCAAAATGCACAAGCAGCAGCAAAAACTCAAAAAAGTTTATAAACTATGCTTACGACTGTGCAAGATCACATAGTCGAAGCCCACAGCAATAGTCGATTTTACATATTTGACTATTAACACTGTTGCAGTCAAAGCAACTGTGTGGAAGCAATATTTTAAGCAATAGTGGAAACCAAATTTTTAGCAATAGTCTTTTTCTTTTGTTGCTTTAAACGAATGTGTATACATTTCTTCTTTTTGTTTTTGTTGAATGTATTGCACATTTGCTTATGCGTAGGGACTGAATTTTTTAAACAAATTTGGGAAGATCGTAATATTTGTGCATTGAATAAAGATATGCAAATTGTAATTATTGAAAAATGTAATGTTTATTTTAATTACATTGGTAACCCCTCTTTTATAGTTCAACTACTGTAACTATTTCTCTTTGTATTTATTTTTAGTTAAATAAACTTTTTTAAACTCAACAGGTTATGGGCCCAGAGCTTGCACTCGCGCTGTGTTTTTTTTATGAAGTCTTTTTACTGCAATTTTTTTTTTAAAACAGTATATACTCCCGTTTAGTTTTTTTTCTTCACGTGCTTTTTTACTAAAGTGTTACGTTTTTTGGTTTGAATTTTTGAAAGTTTTTTTTTACGAAATTAAAATTGAAAAACTAATGAACAGTTCGCAATGGCTTAAGGCCCATTAGACAGCAACGTTCGTTGTCAACGCGCGCTTGCCATTACACAAACAATTTTTTAACAATTTTTAAAACACGCCCCAGATAAAACAACAAATATACTAAAAAATCGCTCTCACGTGAGAATTTTTTCTCCTACTTTTCTCCTACTTTGTGAAATGCGAAATTTGTTTGTGTAATAGTAACATTTGAAATTTTAAAAAATGCGTTGACGAAAATCAAAAAATTTTGATATTTCTTCAACCACGCTCGTGTTTTTGCATATACAGTCGGATTTGGTCGGCATGCAAAATTTAATTTATTTTGAGGAGTAGAAGCGTAAACATCGTTTAAATGCACGCATGATGTCGTTAGCAAGCGATCCTTTGCAAATATGAATGAATTGTATCTTTTATTTTAAATATTTGTATTTTCTACCTAGGTAAAATTTTTTAATTTCCAAAACATGTTATTAAGAAGAATTAAAATATTAATAACCTTGAGCTAAAAAAATATAACCAAACATTAAATTACAATGAGAATTTTGTTTTAAATATTAATTGCATTGTGCACCTACGGAAAATTTGTTATTAAAATATACCAAAAAGAAAAAAAATTAAATTATATAAAATATAATATATATAAAAATAAATATATAAATTGAAATCATAAAAATAAATATAAATATATAAATTAAAATAATAAATTAAATGTGAAACATCATTTTTCGTAAGGAAATTACGCATAGCAGCCGCTGTTGACACTTCAGCGATTGCTTTAATACTGATGAGTGAACAAATTTTGCATTGTTTGCTGGAGGCGTGTTTAAAAAATTGTTGGTAAATTTAATGTGTAATGGCAAGAGAAGACTTCGTGTGTTTGTCAACGCGCGTTGATGTCTAAGGGCCACTTTACGTGGAAATTCCAAATGGTTCAAATTCTGGAGGCTGGTGATATGTATGCAGTGGTGACTGGGGCTGAACTACCGCAAGAAGAAAAAAAATTAGTATGGCAGAAAATTGATACAAGGGCTCGTCGTACTATATCCACGTCACTGGGTAAACAACCTTTGTTGCAAATACTTCATTGTGTGACTGCAAAAGAAATGTGGGATACACTAAAAAGTGTGTATGAACAAACGTCAAGATCTAACGTCTTATTTTTGCAGCAGAAGTATTATAGTTATATTAAAGTTTCGGAGGACGACATTGCAACCTTTTTATCCAAACTAATGGAAATTGTACAGCATCTTCGTGATCAAGGCGAATGTATATCTGATTCAATGATAATTACGAAGGTATTAATGTCTTTACCAGCAGAATACAATCACTTTTATAGCGCATGGGAGTCGGTACGAGCTGAGACCAGAATCTTAACACCTTGAGAGCACGGCTTATGGCAGAAGAAATAAGAATGAGTGCTCAGGAAAATCAAAAATCAGAAGCTCTCTTAGCAAAACGGCAATACAGACCAGCAACTAAAGGGTAACAAAATAAAGCTGTGAAAACAACGACCAGGAGTCAAGGGTGCTTTAAGTGTGGTGACAAAGGCCATTTCAAACTTAATTGTCCACAAATTAAAAAGGTTGAACCAAATGCAAATCATTGCAGAAGCTATGAAGCTTTAATGTGTAGCACAAATGCAAGCTGCAGTGGAAATAATTGGGTTCTTGACTCAGGAGCAACGGATCATATGTGTCATATAAAGGAGTGGTTTGAAAGTTTGAGAAACCACAATGATATAGTCAGGGTTGGCGATGGACGTGCTATTAAAGCGGCAGGTAAAGGAAATATTGTCGTTTTGGTTAGTGAAGGTCATAAATGGGTGCAGAAAGTACTGAAAGATGTACTTTATGTTCCAGGCATCCAATATAATTTATTTTCATCAACAAAGGCACTAGATCGTGGTTATAAATTCCATTCTGACAGTAGTACTTGTAAATTTATCAGAGGAGACGGAAGTACTGTTGCAGTGGGAGTTCGAAGAGGAAAGTTATTTAATATGCTGATTAAGGTTCCAGAAGGCATCATGTTAAATGTAGCAGTCGCCGACAACTTACCTTTGCAAATATGACATGAAGGAATGGGTCACCAAAATGCAACACATGTGAAGAAAATTCTGAATAAAAACAATATTGTCTTTGTGGAAAAGGAATTTACATGCGAGGGATGCATTTTAGGTAAGCAGCACAGAAGCAGTTTTAAATCACGTCAAGTGAGGTCAACAAGCTGCGGCGAACTGTGTTTCGCAGATGTGTGTGGTCCATTGCAAGTAAAATCTATCGGTGGTGCCAGGTATTTCTTATTAATTAAAGATGACTATTCTCATTTTCGTTCTGTTTATTTCTTGAAAGAGAAATCTGAAGTTCCAAATGCCATTAAAAGTTTCTTGATGCAAGCGGAGAAAGTTGATCAACAAAAAATAAAGCGCATGCGTACGGATAATAGTTTGGAATTTGTTAATGATGAATTACTCTAAATTTTTGCACAATTTGGTGTAAGGCATGAAAGGACGGTGCCGTATACTCCGCAGCAGAATGGCTGTGCTGAACGTGAGATGCGAACGGTAATGGAGCTAGGGCGTACAATGATTTATGCTAATGACATGGATTTGAAATTTTGGGCTGAGGCAGTGAATACCGCAGTTTACGTATTAAATCGTACAGGTACTAGTACGGTGAACGAGAAAACACCATATGAGGTGTGGTATGGACAACAGGCGAATATAAGTCATCTCCGCAGTTTTGGTGAAGAAGTTTATGTGCACATACCTAAAGAAAAACGACGCAAACTGGATGCAAAAGCCTGGAAAGGTATTTTTGTTGGTTAAGCAGACAACAGCAAAGCTTTAAGGGTGTGGAACACTAACTCGCAAAAAATAGAAATTTCGCGCGATATTCAATTTTTACCTGACACAGCAACTCTCAAAGTTCAGTCATCTCTAGAATATAATTCGCAAAATCACAGCGCAGAACGTGAATCAAAATTTGATAAAAAACTTTATATATACATATGAAGAAGTGGAAAAAGGTAATGATAATGAGATATCGAAGGACAATGTATTTTATGATGCTCTCAACAATGATGACAAGAACAACCACAATAAGACCTGCATTGCCAATCGTCTTCGAAGTAAAACTGGTTCGGAACATATTGCAGCCCTAATGATAAGCGAGGAGCCTAAATCTTTTGAAGAAGCGATGCAGGTAAATGATCGCGCAAAATGGCAAGCAGCAATGAATGACGAGTACGAGTCATTAATTGAGAATGAAACTTGGAATCTTGTTGAAACACCATTAGATCAAAAAATAATAAAAAATCGGTGGATTTACAAACTAAAGCGAGATGCTCAAGGAAATATTGATCGCTATAAAGCGCGGTTGGTTGTGAAGGGTTTCACCCAAGAATATGGAGTTGATTACGAAGAAACATTTAGTCCAGTTGCAAGGTTTACTTCTATACGTTGTATTTTGGCTACGACAGCAATACGTAAGATGGCTCTTATGCAATTGCATGTTAAGACAGCATTCTTAAATGGTAGTTTAGAAGAAAACATTTACATGCAGCAACCAATAGGTTACGATTACGGCAGTGGACGTGTATGTAAGCTGATGAAAAGTTTATATAGGCTGAAGCAAGCATCAAGATGCTGGAATAAAAAAATTTACTACAATTCTTCAAAGTTTTGGGTTGCAAGTATCGGAGCATGATCCTTGTGTTTTTATCAGCAATAGTGATGATGGTTCTATAATTATGGCTATCTATATTGATGATGGTCTAGTAGCTGCAACAAATAGTAAACTTATAACTAATTTGATGGCTCAGTTAGAAGTAGCGTTCAAAATAAAAATTTTTGAGGCAAGGTATTTTTTGGGGATTGAAATTAATCGAAAGGCTGATGGATCAATTTACATTGGTCAGGAAGCTTATACTAAAAAGGTAATTGCTAAATATAAAATGCAAAATTCTCCTATTGTAGCTACACCTGCAGACACCGCAAGCAATTTGAGTAATTTTATATCTGATGCAGAAGTCAAATTTCCATATAGGGAAGCGGTTGGCAGTCTTATGTATTTAGCAGTAGCTACAAGACCAGATATAGCTTTTGCTGTATCTAACGTAAGTCGATATCTTGAGAAGCCAGCAACAGGGCACATTAATGCAGTCAAAAGTATAATCAAATTATTAAATGGCACGACTGGCATAGGAATCTGCTACCAGAGTAACAGCAAACTTAATCTGCGTGGTTACAGTGATGCTGACTATGCAGGTGATGTGCAAACTCGAAGATCTACCTCAGGTTTCCTTTTTATGGTAGATAAAGGTATAGTAAGCTGGTGTTCTGAGCGTCAGAAGTGCGTTTCTTTATCAACAACTGAAACAGAATATATTGCAGCAGCTAGCGCAGCAAAGGAATTAATTTGGGTCAAGCGTTTTTGGTCTGATCTTGGGAATCCTGGGCAGATAGAGTTCTGCATTAATAATCAAAGTGCAATTCGTCTAGTAAAAAATCCTGAATTTCAGAAAAGGACAAAATACATTGATGTACGTTATCATTTCATTAGAAATGCATACAATGAAAAGGTGTCTGGTGATCAGCTTGCAGATGGGCTTACTAAAGCACTTCCGAAAGAAAAATTTGTATTTTTTAGAAATCAGATTGGTTTAAAACATCTCTCTAGTATCCTAATGTAACTAAAAAGTGGAAGTATTGAAAAATGTAATGTTTATTTTAGTAACATTGGTAACCCCTCTTTTATAGTTCAACTACTGTAACTATTTCTCTATGTATTTATTTTTAGTTACATAAACTTTTTTAAACTCAACAGTAATGCCGGTATCTATAATCTGGTATCTACAAATCTTATACAGTCTCTAATTATATGGTCAGGGCTCTCAATTTTATCTAAACAAAACTGGTAAAAATCCTGTCTCCAGTTCCTCAATTAATCTAAACTTTTATATCTATAATTAGCGAGTGTGTCCGTCTTGATTTTTGGGAATGATATTGTCACTCATCGATGTTATCATTTATTAAGGTACTTGTCTCTGGCCGCGTCTCTCAAGGTGTATTAGCATACGTCCTGTCAAGCATGGCAGATGCATAGGTTTGACAGTCTATGTGCATTTTTCATTACGCGTGAATACAACTTTATGGTTGTAGCATGCGCCCACATAGGTGCAGCATATAGCATTACTGAGTTGGAAACTGAGGCTTAAACAACTCTAACGGTGCTCTTAGGATCTCCTATATTTGGAAATAAACGAAATATGTATTGCAAACATGTAAGGCCTTATCTCCCAATTGTTATAGGTGTGTTTTGAAACTCAGTCTACTACCTATGGTGACACCGAGATATGTAAGTTGGGGGCTAGGTTGTTTGTCTACGCTACCTACTTTAATTGAGATCATTTCAATATTTTTCCTACTGCTGATTAACAGCACCTCTGTTTTATGCTCAGTAAGCTCCAATTCACTGTATTGCAACCACGATTTAATTGCTGCAATAGTAGCATTGCAATTCCTAGCTACTTTGGCTAAAGTTTTAGCAACCACTACTATCGCAATATTATCTGCATATCCAACTACGATTATTCTGTCTGGCTTTTAGATTTGAAGAATACTGTAGAATATATTATTCCATACAATTCGAAGCAGAACTGTCCGGATTCTGTATTGTATAAGAGTATTATGTCTTTAAAATATTATATAATTATTTTCAAAAGGTATTCCTCTTTTTTTCATCAGTGCATTTAAAATGCTACTTCACTCAACTAAACTAAAAGTATTTTTAAGTACTTAGGCCATTATTGCATATAGCATCAACAGTACGTTTAAGTCTAAAACCAAATTGGCTATTTGACAGACCCTTACTTGATTCGGTGAATTTTCTAATCTGCAGTATATAATACTTTTCAGAATCTTACCTGCAGTGTCTAGTAAGCATAAAGGTCTCTTAGGCAATGGTCGCTCTGTTTGGTTTTATTACCTTTAGGAATAGGCACCAGTGTTTGCTTTATCAAATACAAAGGAAAAATTCCTTCTTGTAGGTAGCTATTGAACACATCTCTGAATATAGAGGACTGTTTTTGAATTGCCTACTTCAGACCGTATTATGGATTCCATCAAATCAAGCAGATTTATTGGGCGTAACAGGGGGATATCATTTAATTAGCGTTTATTGGTTTTTAGATCCTAAGTTTTCCTTTTTTTTTGGACACAAATGATAGCTGCCACTATTTTAGAACAAAAAGGTACCGAGCCTCTGTACGTTTTGAATTTATGCAATACTATTTTGTAACCATCGCACCAGACATTTTGCATTCATTTCCGATAAATAAATGCATTTGTGTAGAGATAACAGATTATTCGATAAATTTATTCGGAAACTTTATGTGTAAATTTACTAAAATTTATGTAAACGATTTCTCATACAAGATTTGACACTTTATTTACCCAGTTGAAAAGTTTATACGTTTATTTAAGTTTATAAGGCATTTATCAGTTTAGATGAGTACCCTTAAAAATAACTATATACAAATAAATACTTGAATTGAAAACAATATTAAAAATTATGAAATTTTATGCTAATTGTTTATTGTCATTACCACATATTTTTTTTTAACATCCTTTATTGGATATGAAGAGTACAGTCTTAAATATTTGTTAATTTATTACTATTCTTGAATTGTAACTAATAAATATTAAATAATACTTGTGCGGATTTATTGAATCAGTGTTCACCTCCGATACAAATAGTTTATAATATAATATTATCTATGTTAACTTATGAGGTTTTGTTCGCTTTAGCCCTCTCAGTTCATTGATAATATTTGGCAGTTGAATAGTTTCTACATTGATATGATTGAGTAATAGTTTTTCATGCCTAGTAGCTACTTCTTGTATGGTTTCTTTGACTGTTATAACAATCAAGTCTTTACGTATTTCTTGGTTTGTTACATATCGATAAGTGTTTGTAATCATCCGTAAACATTTGTTTCGACTTCGCTGATGTCTCGGTTCTATTGTTTCGTACAGCCCCATAGCTGTGTGCAATACATCCAAATCGGTTT